GCAATTTTTGATCTATCCTGCCAGTGTCTCCGCACCCTCCGCTTTAGCGAGCCTACTTTTCGACCCTCCGGAGCCACAAAACATTGGAAAAACACAGTGTGTCGCGACTGCTCTACCTTTTCGGGCCCTTTGATCTTCTTTCTGCTGACTCTCTCTTCTCTGACTCTCTCTCTCTCTCTTTCTCTCTCTCTCTCTCTCTCTCTCTCTCTTCTGTCCCTTTCTCTTCTGACTCTTTCTCTTCTCTGACTGCTCTCACCACTGTTGCTGCATCTTTCCATGAGTCGGATGGACGCTAGCCAAATGGTAGCGCTCAGAGATCTGTGGATTGCGCCATTCAGGTATCCAATCCTGTCTTATACAGTATGTGACGCAATCTACTGAGATTGAGATGGATCAGAATCTCAGTCATTCGCAATCATGCCCGACTGGCTTAGTTTAGGCAGGAGATGTGATGCACCTTTGATAATGTAGTGGCAAGTGGCTTGTTTTTTGTTGTATGCCAGCATGTTTTCATGTGCACGGGTCCGCAACTCTCCTCGAAGTTGATGAATGTTCGCTGGTACTGCAAGGCCATCTCACGTGAATCTCCTACTGGCGCTGGCGATGGGACACTGTTTTTCCTCTACCACGGTTCAATGGAAAATGCTGCGGCAAAGGATATGCACCTCTTGTAAGCCCTGACAATGTCCAGTTCCAATAATTCGTTGACTCTCGATTAAGAAATCTCCAGGTTGTGAAGTCTTTCAAATTTGGCCCTTGTAACCTTTGCAATTACTCAGTCTTATGTGCTGTACACCGCAAAGATACTGGCTACAGATGATGAAAACAGTTGCAACACATTCAAGAACACTTGCCCTGGGCTTCCCTGAGCTTCCCCAAGCTTCACAGAGTGGCTTGAGCGGTTCTTTTGCCCCCGCTGATCACCGGACACTCTGCGAAGCCCTCAGCCTTTAGATGGAACCTAGGCATGTGCAAACACAGACTGTGAGAAACGATCAGTTTGGACCAGTTTGGATCACAGCTTTTTGATCAGAAACTGAAACTGAAACTGTTGGCCAAGAAAAATGGGGTTTGTGAAGGTCGGAGATCGGTTTCATTTTCTTCCCAAAACTGTTTTCCTGAACAGCTTTGTGATTGTTCAGAGGAGACAAAGTCTCATGAGTTGGGAAATTACAGGACAGGGGCACTAATTTCAGCAATTGCCAAACAAGAACCACCGAAATTCAATGCCAAGTTTGCAAGCTTTTTGGTTTTACTGCTTTCAAGTCCACGAAAAAGTCCATGAATCGTGAAGCACGTGAACACGAGGACAGAAATCTAGAAATCTTAAAAGCCTTCGCTCATTGTTTTCATAAAGTTTTGCCATTTTGCTGCTCACAGGCTAGTTTCAGGCATCTCAAATCAAACGAGCTCATGGATGTGCGAGTCGACCCAGAAATCGTGTCGTCAGCAAAACACGTTTTTAGTGCTGATAGAAGGCAAAGGGAAGACAAATGGAAAATCATCACACATTTTCAGCGCTATCAGGCAGGCCCGGGTCCTCGTATGATAGCAGTCCAAGGCCAGGATGAATCCACCCTCCCACCTACATTCTTAATCACTCTTACAGATTTCAAATTTGACACAGAAAATTTGCCAAAAACACTGGCATGGAAGAATTAGATTTCTTGTCACATCTTGTCACTCATACACCCTCTGTTGCTTGCGGGCACAGCCCTCTGAAAGCTGCAAAGTCCAAAACAAACATATTGTCCATCTTAACGTTTTTGGAGCCCCATGTTCACCTTCGAAAATGACCCCAAGTTTTATGAGTGCCTCCCAATATTGGTCCATGATAATTTCCTTACTTCACACTGATCGTTTAGTGTATTGGACGCCCAATGCATTGACATGGAAATTGTGGGGAGATGTGGGGAGGTTATATAGCCCCTACCGGAGAGGTTCCATGTTGACAAAAAACAACTACCTCCTTAGGTGTGTTTTTTGTTAACATAGACGATTTGCGCAAAAAAAACAAAATAACATGAACGGGCAAAAACTGTTTCTTTTTGGGGATGCTATTCTGTAGGAGAGTATTTCATCCTAGATCCAAACCTATTCCCTCATCATCAAACTAAATTCAGCCACAGAGACCTCCGCACGGGAAAGCATCAGCTGCGATGACTGCCTCACTGCATCAGGTTTGGTGAAGACTGCATTTTTCTTTATAAAATAAATATGCAAAAAAAACAAATATATATATACAATAACAATAATCTTATATATACATGTTTCTTTCTATTTTTTTCCCAAAAGCATCTCCGATGCTTGGGTTCTCGTTTAGCTGCACTTGCCGCGAGGGAGCGATACGGAAGTGACGAGAAGGTGGACGGAGGGGAAACCGTGCGAAATAGCTTGGGGAGAGCTCCGTTGGGAGGGAACGGATGGAAGCAACGATTGGGTGGACGGAGAGGAAAAACCGTGGGAAATAGCATGGGGAGAGCTCCGTGGGGAAGGAGCGAGATGGAAGCGACGAGAAGGTGGACGGAGGGGAAACCGTGGGAAATAGCATGGGGAGAGCTCCGTGGGGAAGGAGCGATACGGAAGCGACGATAGGGTGGACGGACGGGAAACCGTGAGAAATAGCATGGGGAGAGGTCCGTGGGGAAGGAGCAAGATGGAAGCTACGACATGGTGGACGGGGGGGAACCGTGGGAAATAGCTTGGGGAGCTCCGGTGGAAAGGAGCGATACGGGAGTGAGGACAGGGTGGACGGAAAAGGGAAACCGTGGGAAATGGCTTGGGGAGAGCTCCGGTGGGAAGGAGCGATACGGGAGTGTCGAGACGGTGGACGGAGGGGAAACCGATGGGAATTAGCTTGGGGAGAGCTCCGTTGGGAGGGAACGGACGGAAGCAATGATTATGTGGACGGACAAGAAAGAGCTCCGGTGGGAAGGAGCGATACGGGAGTGTCAAGAGGGTGGACGGAGGGACGAAACCGTGGGAAATAGCTTGGGGAAAGCTCCGGTGGGAAGGAGCGACACGGGTGGACGGGGGGAAACCGTGCGAAATAGCTTGGGGAGAGCTCCGGTGAGAAGAAGCGATACGGGAGTGACGACAGGGTGGACGGAAGGGAAACCGTGGGAAATAGCTCCGTGGGGAAGGAGCGAGATGGAAGCTATGAGAAGGTGGACAGGCAAAGCGTGGGAAATAGCATGGGGAGAGGTCCGTGGGGAAGGATCGAGATGGAAGCTATACGCGAGAAGGTGGACCGGAGAACACCGTGGGAAATATAGCATGGGGAGAGAGCTCCGGTGGGAAGGAGCAATACGGGAGTGATGACAGGGTGGACGGGGAACCGTGGGAAATAGCTTGGGGAGAGCTCCAGTGGAAGGGAACGATACGGGAGTGACGAGAGCACGGGAGGGGAACCCTGAGAAATAGCTTGGGGAGAGCTCCGGTGGGAAGGAGCGATACGGGAGTGACGACAAGGTGGTTGGAAGGGAAACCGTGGTGTGACGAGAGGGGGGGAAAGCGTGGGAAATAGCTTGGGGAGAGCTCCGGTGGGAAGGAGCGATACGGGAGTGACGACAGGGTGGATGGAAGGGAAACCGTGGGAAATAGCTTGGAGGGAGCTCCGGTGGGAAGGTGCGATACGGGAGTGACGACAGGGTGGACGGAAGGGAAGCCGTGGGAAATAGCTTGGGGAGAGCTCCGATGGAATGAAGCGATACGGAAGTGACAAGAGGGTGGATGGTAGGGAAACCGTGGGAAATAGCTTGGAGAGAGCTCCGGTGGGAAGGTGCGATACGGGAGTGACGAGAGGGTGGACGGAAGGGAAGCCGTTGGAAATAGCTTGGGGAGAGCTCCGGTGGGAAGGAGCGATACGGGAGTGCGACGACAAGGTGGACGGAGGGGAAACCGTGGGAAATAGCTTGGGGAGATTTCCGTTGGGAGGGAACGGATGGAAGCAACGATATAGGTGGACGGAGAGGAAAGAGCTCCGGTGGGAAGGAGCGATGCGGGAGTGATGACAGGGTGGACCGGGAGGAAACCGTGGGAAATAGCTTGGGGAGAGTTCCGGTGAAAAGGAGCGATACAGGAGTGACGACAAGGTGGATGGAGGGCAAAGCGTGGGAAATAGCTTGCGGATACTCGGTTGGGGAGCGTCCACCGTGGGAAATAGCTTGGGGAGACAGCTCCGTGGGGAAGGAGCGAGATGGAAGCGACGAGATGGTGGACGGAGGGGAAACCGTGGGAAATAGATGGAAATAGCATGGGGAGAGCTCCGTGGGGAAGGAGCGATACGGAAGCGACGATAGGGTGGACGGACGGGAAACGGTGAGAAATAGCATGGGGAGAGGTCCGTGGAGAAGGAGCGAGATGGAAGCTACGAGAGGGTGGACAGGGGGGAAACCGTGGGAAATAGGTTGGGGGGAGCTCGGATGGAAAGGACCGATACGGGAGTGAGGACAAGGTGGACGGAAAAGGGAACCGTGGGAAATAGCTCGGGGAGAGCTCCGGTGGGAAGGAGCGATACGGGAATGTCAAGAAAAAAACGATGTGAAATAGCTTGGGGAGAGCTCCGGTGAGAAGGAGCGATACGGGAGTGACGACAGGGTGGACGGAAAGGAAAGCGTGGGAAATAGCTTGGAGGGAGCTCCGGCGGGAAGGTGCGATACGGGAGTGACGACAGGGTGGACGGAAGGGAAGCCGTGGGAAATAGCTTGGGGAGAGCTCCGGTGGGAAGGAGCGATACGGGATGACGACATGGTGCACGGAAGGGAAACCGTGGGAAATAGCTTGGGGAGAGCTCCGTTGGGAAGGAGCGATGCGGAAGCGACGATAGGGTGGACGGAAGGGAAACCGTGGGAAATAGCATGGGGAAAGCGCTGTTGGGAAGGAGTGATACGGAAGCGACGATACGGTGGATGGAGGGCAACGCGTGGGAAAGAGCATGGGGAGAGGTCATGGCGAAGGAGCGAGATGGAAGCTACGAGAGGGTGGACGGGAGGAAACCGTGGGAAATGGGAAATATAGCATGGGGAGAGGGCTCCGGTGGGAAGGAGCGATACGGAAGTGACGACAGGGTGGGCGGGGGGGAAACCGTGGGAAATCGCTTGGGGAGAGCTCCAGTGGAAAGGAGCGATACGGGAGTGACGAGAGCCAGGGTGGACGGGAGGGGAACCGTGAGAAATAGCTTGGGGAGAGCTCCGGTGGGAAGGAGCGATACGGGAGTGACGACAGGGTGGTTGGAAGGGAAACGGTGGTGTGACGAGAGGGAAGAAACCGTGGGAAATAGCTTGGGGAGAGCTCCGGTGGGAAGGAGCGATACGGGAGTGACGACAGGGTGGATGGAAGGGAAACCGTGGGAAATAGCTTGGAGAGAGCTCCGGTGGGAAAGTGCGATATACACAAGTGACGACAGGGTGGACGGAAGGGAAGCCATATAAAAATAGCTTGAAAAAAGCTCCGTTTGGAAAACGATACGGGAGTGACGACAAGGTGGACGGAAGGGAAACTGTGGGAAATAGCTTGGGGGGAGCTCCGGTGGGAAGGAGCGATACGGGAGTGAGGACAGGGTGGACGAAAAAGG